AGTCCCTTTCTATTATATCAATACACACACATACGCACATACACACATTCGCACACACACAAACACACACACACATATATATATATATGCATGTATATATATATATATATATATATATATATATATATATATAATATCATTCAACACATGAGAAAGTGCATATGGCATATCAACATGCACAGATTTTTTATTATCATAATTACATATAGTATAAAATAAAATTGAAATAAATATTTAGACCTAAGAGATTTATATATCTCATTCTTTCTGTGCGGCCTCGTTCCCAAAAGCTAAACTATTTAAAAGGTTCACAATAAAACCAGGAGGCTGTCAAAGTCTAATTTTCATATCGAGGTCACATTTGATCTTGATAATAACTGCGAAATTCTAAAATACTTGAAAAAACTAACAGATTATGAACTTTTGAAATTTTATCAATTTATATATATATATATATATATATATATATATATATATATATATATATATATATATATCGTTTGTAACATTAAAATTGTCTAAATCATGAAACAGCAAGATTGATAGATTTTGATTTGAAACTCTGTATCTTTGAATTGATTAAATATATCTTACTGTAATTTTCCGAGGTTTTTATAACATTACTCGACTCTACTTTGAGCAAGAAGAATGTATAATTCCTCTTCACGCATTACTGAAATATCAGTGTGATATCGATCATAAACGGAAATGATATCTTCATCATTACTTAATGAATCAATGATAGCTAAGTATCGGAAGTTCATGAAGGATGGAAATAAACTATTCCAGGATCATTTTCAAACTTATTCATGATGATCTTAGTCTTATCTAACCTTCTTTTTTTCTGTTCATTTGTCTCACACGTGTCACGTCCGATTTCATTTTGAAGTCTTTTTTTAACTGCTTTTGAACTTCCATGGATGAAAGTCCTCTTTCACATGCCAAACGTCTTATGAATTGCGTTGGATCTTTTGGAATGATCTTTTCAGTAAGTTGAAATGATTATCCCTGTTGTAACCTCTGATCCAGTTTTCATCTCTACTGTTTCCGCTTTTTAAACCTATTCAACGTTGTCTTCATGGTCCTTGAATGAACTTTGAAGACGGAAGCGAGTGTATGAATAGTGGTACAAATTACTAAAGTCCTGAATGAAATTTCCTTCTCGCGATTGCTCAGTTGAGAAGACAGTTGGGTTGACCCAAAACGATTTTAATCTGTTCAATTTCGAGCTGAATAACTCAAGGGTTTTTCAGTGACTCTTACGACACAATGTATCAAAAAGTTTAAAGCTCTTATCTGAATCACTGGAAAGAATCAACTCAATTAGTTTAGTGTTTTTTAGATATTAAACATTTTGTGTGATGGAGAGTTATGTTGTAACGCGATTTGGCCAATTTTCTTGTTACACCCGCTTTATATATATATATATATATATATATATATATATATATATATATATATATATATATATATACAGTGACACGCATAAGTATTGGATACAAGTTATATTCTGTTATAACTCTAGTTTATATTCGCCATTTTGCCTGATATTTAGTAAGTAATATCTCGTAAAGTTGTTTTAGTTGTATGTGGAAGGAAAATTAAAAATTCCTGGTTGAATCCATTTTTTTTATCAAAGTTCAAAATTACCCTTGCAAAAGTATTGGATACATCAATTTAATATTTTGTTGCATAGCCTCTGTTTTGTTTCACTGCTTCCAGTCGCTTTCTATTGTTGGCCACAAGTTTTCCACACTGATCCACCGTTACTTTACCCCATTCTTCCCTGCATAATTCCTCTAATTGCTTGATATTTGGTGGATTCCGCTTATGAGTATTCCACAAATTCAAAATTGGATTCAAGTCAGGAGACTGACTTGGCCAATTGAGAGTACTAATACCATTATTTTCAAACCATTCCTTTGTAAGTTTTGCAGTATGTTTGGGATCATTGTCGTGTTGAAGCACGAAATTCCCAACATGTCCTAAAGAAGTTGCAGATTTCTGAAGGTTCTTCTCTAGAATCTTCCTGTACATGCTACCATTCATTTTACCATGGATAACTTTTAACTCACTAGTGCCCTTGGATGAAAAGCATCCCCATATCATAATGGAAGCTCCCCCAAACTTAACTGTGGGGATGTTATTGTGCTTGCTGAAGGCAGTACCATTTTTTTCGCCAAACACTTGTCGCTGTGTTCCTTCCGAATATTTCAACATTCGTTTCATCCGACCAGATTACCTTTTCCTAAAACTGCATATCTTTCTTTTCATAAGTTTCGACAAAATTTAATCGGTCTTTGACATGTTTGGTTTTCAGTAAAGGCACATTTCTTGGTGATCTTGAATGAAAGCCTGTACGATATAGAGCTCTGTTAATGGTATCCTTACTTACATTAATTCCAGCACCCTCAAGATCAGTTTTAATTTCAGAACGAGTAATGAAGGTTTTTTTTTTGCACATTTCTGCTGATCCACCTTGAAGTACTCTCATTTATTTTTCTCGGTCTTCCATTTCTTGGAAGGTTTGCAGTACCGTCGCCATACTTCTTATAAGTTTGATGATATTTCCTACTGTACTTAGTGCCAGATTCATTTCATTGCTAATTTTTCGGTAACCTTGTCTTCCTTTGTGACGTTCAATGATTCTATCTCGCATATCTCTGGATAATTCTTTAGTTTTTGCCATTTTTAATCATTGAAATGCAGAATGCACATCAAAGAGTCAGATGATTAGTAGCACTATCTTGTAAACAATTGTGTGCTTCTCTGATTAGTCAGAAATAACATTCCAATACTATCGAAAATTTGAATATTTAAAGTCTTTTAAAATATAAAGTTTCGATTGAAAATTTGAAAAAAGTGTCATGTATACAATACTTTTGCATAGGGTAATTTTGAACTTTGATAAAAAAAAATGGATTCAACCATGAGTTTTTAATTTTCCTTACACATACAACTAAAATAACTTTACGAGATATTACTTATCAAATATCAGGCAAAATAGCGAACATAAACTAGAGTTATAACAGAATATAACATGTATCCAATACTTATGCGTGTCACTATATATATATATATATATATATATATAAAATTACAACATATATGTTATAATGTTTAAAAAATATATTAGCTCTACTCTATATTGAGCACTTTTTAAAATAGTGTTTTTGTTACAGGAAGGTTATTCTATCGATACCAACCCTGTATTCTCATATATATATATATATATATATATATATATATATATATATATATATATAGAGAGAGAGAGAGAGAGAGAGAGTGTGTGTGTGTGTGCGTGAGTTGATAATTATTTATTTTTTCAACTTCTCAAAAAATATCTATGGAAAATCTTTATTATCCTTTGATTTCTGAATCTATGTTACATACATGCAGACATCAAAGCAAAGCATTACCTAGGCAATTGATTCATCTGAGAAATTAAACATATATATATATAATCTGTGGACAGAAGTTCTCTAACCATCATTACGACTGTGTTGACTCGGATTCGTCATCACTTCATATTTGTAAAATTGTTTTCACTACACACGATGTTTTTTTCGACATATGTTTTACTAAGTTTCAACCCATACAACACTCAAGAACCACACACGAATGTAATATAACTGATGGAGCTCGTTGTATGAACGGTAAGTGCACGAGGTAACTAATATAGGTAATTAAACGATGTACGAAATATCACGGTTAAACTTGATTATAGTAGTCAGGAATTCTTCCTCTCAAGAATCTGTTTATACAACTTAGAGACAAGAAGCTTTCCAAGTCGAACTTCCTTTTGGCTCAAGGGATACGAATGGTATATAGATAGTTTTTCCTAGTGTAGATAGCATGACTTTTCTTCGCTGTAAAATTTAGAACTTGTGTAACTAAGGAATATGTATATTTTTAACAAGATCCTAAAATGTATCTATAAATGTGCTGCAGATCACAAACCTGCGTGAGAACGTTTGCATTTAGGGGAGGTTTCGAGAAAATGCTGTTTTATCAGACTTCATCACTCACAAAATAGATTTACTAAATAGTATTATTTATAACCAATGGTGATCGATATGTCATGTCCTTGATTCTAGGGACGTATCAAGCTTAGGGTGGAGAAAGGTATGCCTAGCATATATGCCAGCCAACGTATATGTAACAGCTGGTTTCTTGTTTTTTTTTGTTTTTTTTTGTTGTTATTCTTTTTTTTGTTGGAGTAATATAGATCACAGCAGTTCATCCGTTTTTGATGTCATTTTCATTGGTTTTCACAACATCGTCAACTTTAGCTATAAAAGGCTGCAGAAAAAAATTCGCGGCACGATCCAATTTACTAAATCTTTGCAAGTGACCAGATATCAGATATGGCATTTTTGTAAGGTTTTAGCTGGGTCAATAACCTTTTAGAAAGCCTCGTTATTAAATTTTAAAATAAATTTCTCACAAGATTTTGCTTGCTAAATCCTAATTAAAGTAATATTCGATAAAGAAATATAGAATTTTTTGTCTGTTCTAAAATGTTAAGATTTGATTATATATACAAAATTAAAATAGAAAATATTTATATTCAAACCTCCTAAAATCGATAGGCAATAACAAATCCTTGATAAATAATTTAGCAATCATGTTGTGTTAAAAAGATACAGCTCAAAAACACATTTTGCAGTTTTTGTAACTTTGCAATCCGAACATTTCTTATCGATTCTTGAGGCAGGTGTTAAAAGATGTATTGTAGATAATGGACCTTATCTATTGTCTGATTGATTTGTTTTTGCTGCTTATTAACCCTTTGCATATTAGCTGTAGTCATGTAAGTTTTTTTTAGATTGTACGAATTTGACATAATAATGTTTATAATGATACAAGTTGGGGGGATAAGACGTATGTTCATAACTTTCCCAAGTGCAGATGTGTGTAAGTGGATCCAACGAAACCAGCTGAAACTGGAACTCACCTATCGAATTTCCAATTTCAAATTTTAATCAAATAGTGCACATCAAATGGTATTCCCAAGCGGCCGCCTATCTAGGTACTGACCTGGCTCGATGTCGGTTGACTTCGGTGATCAGACGAAAACCTGGGTTTCAACGTGATATGGCTATAATTATTGAATCAACAGCACAAAGGCTAAACGTTTCTATTTCAAATTAATAAAATCCATATTTTCTCTTTTAAATTTAAATTAAAATACGATATTTGTTCAGTAAGAAATAAATAGGTTCGACTATCGCTCACTTCATCGTCTTTTGAACAGGTGTATAGATTTATCACTTCTTTCCTCTTTAGGATCGGGTCTCCGGTTTCATCTCGTCAATATATCTTATTCCCTTTCTTTCCTAGAAATCTCCTTGCGTCTTATTAACATTGTCGCCTTGCTTGCTGTTAAAATGATAAATAAATGTAAAAGAAAACTGTTTGGTTTTGAAACACAAAGCAATGGATTCTTACGCAATATATTATCTTAGTTCTAGCGGTAAATATCGGACAAATTATTTCCGCAGGTAAAGAAGCGACTTGAACAACAGAGATATTTCATTAAAGAATTCTGAAAATGCAATGAACAAAGCATTTGAGTAAGAGGAAGTTTAAGACGAGTAAGAAATGCAAAGATACTTAATCATTTCATCTGAAGGAGAGAGCTTAAGTTTTTAGGAGACACCATGAGAAAAGATGGCTTCAAGAATTTAAGACCGCAGTTCAGAATGATGGCAAGAATATCAGGGGGTGAACAGCGAGTTGTCTTCTTAAACTTAGGAGAATGAATGACAAAACCAGGACAAAATGTGACCGCAAACGTTAAAAAGATTTATTTAAAGCAAAAAAAAAATGAAGCAGAAAATGTAGAAGTCCATCATAGCCCATGTCAGAAAGAACATGATACATTAACAAAAATCTTTCATTTGTTTACATTATTTCACCCCAAGAAATGCGAGAATGCCAATAGGAAGCAAGAACCGAGAAGAGTGGCTGTTAAACATAAATATCCTTACACGATTTGATAAGAAAGACCGAATAATTTTAGAAATATTCGGCCAAGGAAACCATTTCCCTTGAGCCTGCGTAGAAGGTCAAACTTCTAAACATTCTCAACAACCTTCGAGATATATAAGGCCACAGCTGTAGCTTCACTATTCTAATCTAAAGATTTGTGTCAGAAGCTTCCAGCAATGATAATTAACAGGTCGGTGATTGATCTCGAAAACAGAAAACCATAGTGCCTGTCTAAATAGAAACTGATGTGAGAATGCTTAACCAATCCAAATTTGAATAGTGACACAAGAGCTTTGCCCAACAGATGTAGAAACATATATGGGGGATAGTTTCAACTTCAGAAGGATAGAATGTATCCTTCCAATTTTCATAAAGAAATTTGCCTTTGAACTGGCTTCTATTCTTTCTAAATTCTACAATGGACGACTTGCTGCTTCTCGCTTTCCAGCCTGAAGAAATTTCTGTTCTGCAGTTCTTGCTTTTAAGAACTCGAGTCACTTTTTTCCTTTTTCTCCCTAAGAGGAGTAGATTCGGTAAATTTACTTTATATTTCTTTTCAATAAAGGTAGATAGTTTCAGCTAAAAAGTAAATCAAAATAAATAACATTTCAGGGTATACACGGTGATGATAGAATTATAGTGTTGATGGAGAATATACACCCTTTTTTTTACGATATTAAGAAAATTATATAAACTTCAATAATTCAAATTTGGCTTGAAAAAATTTTCAAATGTTAAACATTCAATTCAGATGTGAAAACAAAGCCTGAGTTAAAATTTAATTTAGTATGATATGTTTTGTTGAAACTATTGTTGAAGCTATTTGATGTATTATAAAAACTTTATTAGGCGAAGGTAAATAATTATACTTTAATTAAAAATATGTAATAAAATCACCAAAATTATCAACGCCAATAATAGAAAAAATAACAAATACATAAGTCTTTGAATCGTTTACATTTTAATATAGTTTCAATTCTCAATAACAGCCAGTAATCTATTATCCATTGATTTTATTATTTTTATTTTACTTCAGCATGTTCAATTTACGGCATGGTAATTCTAATTGCTTCCCATCGGTCTGCGTTGGTGTTATATTGTGTGCCACCTTCATATAAGTTAATCTTCATAATTAACCATAAATTATCGATCGCATTCATATCAGGACTTGATGGTGGTCATTCCATTATGTTCTCTCTTGTATATCGTTTCTGCGCAAATAATTCACAGGTGAGCTTAGATACGTGAGAAGAAACATTGTCGTTCAGAATATGCTTGACTTTGAAACTGCGGAACTGGAACTTGTACGATGCAAAGAAAATCTTGTTCATAAAATCGCAATATTAAGCACTGTGAAGTTTAACAGCTTCATGAACTTTGAATGGTTTACTAATGGTTTGGGTGACAATTTCAGCGCATATCATAACACTATGTCTTTCATGTTGCCTTCTTTTAGCCACAGGAACGTCACTACTGGATAAAATCAATCGTTTGGCCCATCCATCAGTTCCATCAAACGACACTTGACGTTCGTCAATGAAAATTACTTGATTTTTTTCATATATTTTTGACACAATTTTGAGGCTTTAAAATATTTGTTCTAGTGAGAGAAATTTACCTAGGAAATATTTTTACAGATACCAATTAACAAAACATAATACAACTTTATCCTTCTTGACTCCCTTAATTTCAGCCTTTTCAACGATCTGAGTGCTGATCAAAAGATTTTGTTCCACTGTGACTCGCTTTAGTTTACGTTAATTCCGAGAAAACAATTTCTCAGTGCTTTTTCCTTGCTTCGAGTTCTCAACTTATATTTTCAACAGCCTTCTTTACGGTCGGATATTCTATGCAAATCTCTTCTGATATCTTCAATGTAGACATTCCCTCACTCAATAATTTGGTTGTTTTCAGCTGTTGTTAGATCTTTCCTTTTACACATGTTTCAATATATATAATAGAGAAAAAGAGAAAAAAATAGTTATTTTATTACATTTCAGACCTCTTAAGCTAATATTAGTTTAATTTGCATAACATCTGTCAGTCAATTTCGTAAATTCCAGATATATCCAAAACAAAACAATAAAATTGCAGGAAACTGAATTAAATATTTTACTAAGGGAAAAATAGGACGAGTTTAAATTTGAAAAAATATTAATGCAGAATTTATTTAGTAATTGGGGTTTATTTTATTTGCATAATAACTTCAGAAAAACTGTAGAAGATAAACCTCTAGGCATTTTCAAATGTGAACCTGATGATTGTAGGTCCTGTTATATATGATATTAAATAGACAGATAGATAGATAGATAGATAGATAGATAGATAGATAGATAGATATGACAAGTGAGATCGATAGATACGTACATACGTGTCTATGACCAATGTAAGGCAGATGGATTGATAGATAAATAAATGGATAATAATAATGTCTGGCAGCTCGCATCCGAATATCCCTGTCTTCTACGGCGGCTAGACAAAACCTGTTGCAGACGCATGCGCAGGCACAATCTGTTTTTTTTTTCTTTTGTATATCACGTATAAATATACGCAGGATTTTTACTGTAAATATGCTGAGCGGACCTTAATTCCAATTTCTGAATATCAACTGTGTTATCATGGTTTATACGTTCAGACCCTCGCTCACGATAACTAGCGACTTCGTAGTTCCACAACCACCGACGAACAATTATGTCTACTCTGATTCACTCAAAAGGATAGGGTTAACATCTAGTATGGTTTTCAGTAAACTTCCAGTGCCAGCTATGGCTAGTCGTTTCTCTCCTCAACTTCTCATCTCTTTTAATAATAAGCAACGTTTGTGCCATTTCTTCATTAATGTTCTGCTACACATTCACAGAAAAGTCAACTCGCTGTTGCAACAGAAATTTAAACACTCTCTTTTGAGATTTCGTTATTTAGTTCCTATTTTATTTAAACCATTTCTTGGCATATATATTTAGACCATGGTATTCTCCTCATCCGTCTATAGAGCCATGTCTCTGTCGCTTTAAGCAAATTGATCTCTAAGATAATGACCCAGCATTTACAGTCATATAGGAGAATTATTATGACATAGAATTAAGTACACATTTTTATGAGGATATTTTCTGATGTGTTAATACTTAACTCATTTTCTAGCAGACATATTCACTCTTGCAACACGCTTTCTGACTTCTCTCACATATTCAACTGTCTGTTAACTCACTCAGCAGATATTTAAATTTATGTCCTTGCTTGAAACAGAAGTCTCTAATTCAAATCTCGCACCCTTTCTATCTCTCTTACTTATAATATTTCTGGAATTAGAAACTGTTCATGAGAACGCCATAAAATTTTGTTTTACTTTGGTGTGGACTTCTCATGTTTCACTGATGCTTGCTATCAAATTACAGCAAATCAATTGAAAATCGCACGCAATGGCTGTAATTATATTGATTATTAATTAATTGATGAACTGTATAATTAAAATGTGGCCGGGGAGAATACCATGTCAAGGGAATCAGCGAAAACAATGCTGATAAATTCTTAGTTCATGTGTTAAATAATGCAATTTTAATTTACATACTATCATTTTCTCCAGAAAAAAAAATGCACTTTTTATTGTCCTAAGAAAGTACAATTTGAATTATTTAGCAGTTTACGCCAATTACATTCGTGTCTATTTGCATCTATACTGGTGGAAACAGTTTTATATGCAATGCAGTATTGGATTTCTTTATTGGAGATTACAAGGTGAATACAATTATTTTTCGGGATAATACGGTGGAGTAATGGATAGCGGCTCGGAATCGGAGAGCCGAGTTCGAATTCCAGTCGAATCCATTCCATTCACTTACGTGCTAATACCATTGGCAAAAGTATGAAACCCCTTCTTCTCCCTTTCAGATATTAGTAAATAGCAGGACAGACAGGGTTCTATAGCCTTCAATAGCAACTGGAGAAAGAAATGGCAACATACAGAAGGAAAAAAAATCTGCCTCGTCAGTCATGTGTCGAAGATATATGATCACCTACGCGTGTATTATGCATGGCACATAACTGACTGATATTCACTTACGTGCTAATAGTCTTGGCAAAGGTATGAATCCTCTTCTTCTTCCCGCCAC